AGCTCAAAACAATCCGAAGGATCCCTATGATTCCAAGGGTTACACACACACAAATCTCATTTATAACATACACAAATGTTCAAGTCAAGGGTCAATATCTTATATAATAAGTCAAAATCACAACAAGTTCTTTTCGGCATGTCTTCTTCATTCTTCTTCCACAAAGCAGGATGCATCTAGCCCAAGTCAGCATGTCGCAAAAGAACCCATGGAAGTGGGTCAAAAGAAACCTCCAAACAATCACAGCAGCCCGAGCACCTCTCCGTCATGCCAGGGTCACGTTCTCGTTTTCTCGTTTTCGAGACGGCCGGAAGACCGGATCCTTCGGATCCGTCGGGCCTTCTCGTCGTTGGAGGATTTCTTCTCGGAGGCAAAGGTCTCCGTCCAGTATTTCGCCGTCTGGGCGACCAAAACGGCAAAAACGTGGGGCCCAAAAAAAACCGTGGCACAAAACAGGTCCGTGTTCACACCGTTCTGTTTCTTCACCGTTCTCGTTTTCAGGTTCTTGCCCCTCACTGAAGACATCTATGTCAGCCAACAAGGCACTGACTTGCATCAGCACTTTAACTCTTGCCACCTGACATGCCCTCAAGAAACTAAATGTGTGTTGCATCAGTGTTCCACCTGGACGAAAAGCTCTCTGTTGTGCTTGTACATCTCAGCAACCTTATGGGTGGTGAAGAGTCAGCAAGTGGAAGTTGTGAAGACTGAAGACGTAGCGGAGCAAAATTGCAAAGCAATCCTCTTACATGCCACTTCACCGCTGCCTCTGCATCTTGCGGATCATCAGGTTCGGGAGAGGACAGCAATGCCTGCAGCTATTGTGGGAAAGTAGACTCTGATCGTCTGTGGTTCTGCTTGCTATCCTTGACGTATCTCCAACGCGCCTGAATTGACAGGAGCGCCGCGCGAATCGTCAGCGCTGGGCTCCACTCCTGGGTGTCGTCGTGCGGCCGTTCGCCCCACACTGTGTGCCCGATATGCCATGGCCTTCCCCAGCACGTCGAGGCAAATCGCTCCAGTCTGCGGAAGTGTCAGTTTCTGATTTCTGCACCCACCCACCCACCCCCGCCCCTCCACAGTCCATCGAGTCAAGGCTTGTGAATCCGTATGTGTAGATATAGTATTAGATTAGATATTAATATATAGTCCATCTTCTCACAGTTGACTCTTTTTGAATTGAGTCAAAAGCTGCCCAGTTGGCGGAAGACGCAAAACTTGCTGCAGATTTGCTGCGCAGCGGAACGTTAACTGGCTCAAAATGCCTCCATTCTGGAGCTGAGCAACAAAAAACTTGTCTTTGGCCAATGGGATGGCAACGCAAGGTCGTCTCACTCATGATCCGTTCCCTTTCACCACCTCAAACGTCAGAGGAAGTTACAAAGTAAGCTCAGACCCTCTATTGTACAGTAACTACCACTTGACCTCATGAATAGTCTCTGCAAAAAAAGAAACTACTCCCGCCATGTTTTATATATATAATATGTCCTTCAACATGATATGAGTATCTCACCAATACTTCTCTCTCATATCCGAACTGTGCGCCCAAACACCATTTGCTCCATCAAAAAGAAGTAGTGGACGCTCTGGCACCTGAGGAAGGATGCAGTCGGCGCATCGGTTGGGGCCCCTTAGCCCCAATCATAATTAGGCTGGTTGTCTACTTTCCTACCAAGGAAACCTGGAAGCTTTTCATTTTGACTTATTTTGACCCCTCCAGGCCACTCAATCTCAACATGAATTGTGTTTTTGCTGATTGTGAAAGCTTTGGCCGCGAAATATCTCTTCCAGCACCTGACTTCGGGAGAGAAACATTGCACTGGTGCTCCAAGTTACGACTCTTGAAGTCAGGAATCCTTTCGGGAGAGAGAGAAAAAAAAGCTTTTAGCCCAGGGTCAATCACGGCAAGGGTCAAAAGTGTCGCACACTGTCAGACGTGACGGGATCAATCACGCCTCATTCTCATCGCTGGCAATACCCAGGGCGTGGTTTGCAAAAGCGGTTCCACCATGCACCTGGAGTTATGGCAATCTTTGCGCACTAAACATCGGATGTAACAAGTCCCGAAGCTCCTAGTAGCTTCTTGTTCCTAGTAGTAAGGCCAGGAGCCCCGTTCGTAGCGTCCGATCGCTCCGTTCGTAGCGATGCCCTTTGCTCCGTTCGTAGCGTACGAAGGCCAAGTACAAGTCCCGTATTTACACGAAGCTGTGAGGATCAACGTCCCTGGTTCACAGAACATGACTGGACGGCGCGTGGGGGAACCTGGAGGCTCCGCATGCTGCTGTGACCATAGGCCTTGGCATCCGGTCCGGATGTCCAGAGCCAATTCTAAATGTTCCAGTCTGTCCACAATGGCCCCACTCCAGTTGAAGTGACTGGAACATACTGCAACTGCTCTTCTGAATGAAAAATCTCACAAGTCATCTCAAGAGATGTTCAATCATTCTCCAAAGCCGAGTGAGTTCGCAACATGAGCACTGCTCCTCAAAATTCGAACCTGGTCCTGAAGCTGAAGCTTGCAGTGGTCGCATCCCAGGGGGGCCTTCCATTCCCTTCTACAGCAGGGCGTTCATGCTTTCTCTTCTTCAAGCCATGTCGATGTGCCGCTTTGCATGGACATGGGATCGGCACCGAGGGCTTGGTTACCGACTAGCCCCACATAGCCAACCAGACTAATCAAGCTATGTATATAAGTACATCGGAAGTGTTGACCGGCTCTCATGTAACAAGTTTTCAGCTTCAAATGACCGATGACCCTAGCGTTCTCAGCTATACTTTTCCAACATGTGAGTGTAGCTTCCCCGACTGTGCTTCCTCAATCTCCTCACAGCCCATAGCCTGGGCTTGCTTGCCTTTGATGCAGCGGAAAAGGACTGTGGAAAGTTAGAGAGCTCAAAGCACTAAGAAGTAGAGGGGTTGACATCCTCTTGGCGGAGTCGGTGGAGGAACAGCTCCAGATTTGCCTTTTTCAGCAGCTTGGCATCATTCAACCGTTCAAGTTATGGTGGGGGTAAGAACAACACAAAACAAGAAGGCCCGGAACAGTGTTCAATCTGAATCGAGTGTATCAAAATACCAACGGTGGTCAAGACATGCTTACAGGTCACGAATTGGGCAAAACTTCTTTGCAGGTGCAGAATTGCTCTTGGGGTCAGTGTCTGCGTATCAAGGAGTGACAAGACTGTTTGGTAAGACACGGAACCTAATAGCGATGGCCGCCAACCAAATAGCGATGGCCTCCAACCTTATAGCGTCCAACCTAATAGCAATGGCCTCTAACCTACCAGCGATGGCCTCCAACCTTATAGCGATGGCCTCCAACCTAATAGCAATGGCCTCCAACCTAATGTCAATGGCCTCCAACCTAATAGCGATGGCCTCCAACCTAATAGCGATGGCCTCCATCCTAA